TGGGAGTTAGGTTGCAGCAGTATCCAGCACATTATTCAGCCTACAGGTTTGTTTCTTCCCCCCTGCTCCTCCTTTCCTTCCTTTGCTACACCCTTTCCTCTGTCTCTGGCATTGCCTTCCATCCTGAAGCAACCACCATCCCCGTGCCCCCTTTCTCACCCTTCCCTTTCTGTGTTCTCCCCAGCCATGAGCTCTGTGCTCACTAACAGAGAAGGGACTGCTCCAGCACCAAACACTGACAGAGCTGAGTGCCCAGCCCCACTGCTCTCCACTATCCCCTCCAGCTCACCTCTGTAAGAGGCGCAGCCAGGCTGCCCCACCTCCGTGCAGGAAGCCACCTCCCACACCCACCAGTAACATCAGTGCCAGTAACATCAGTGTGGAGCAAGTGACCATCAGGATGCCATGGGCTGTTTGGCAACTGGAAGCCTCTGGGCTCCATCTTGGTAACACACAAGCAGGGCTATTGGTCAGAAAGAGAAAGTGAAGACTCTGGTCTCCTTTTCTTCCTTTAGTTGGCAAGAGAAGATATCCAAATCCAGATACAAAAGCTGCCAGATGTCTGCAGTTCTCTCCCCTTCAACCTTGAGATCCTGCTGCCATTGCACAGAGATTTCCCAGGGAATGAGTGAACTGCAAATTCCCTTCTCTACCACATTCCCCTCTTTGCTTAGCTTCAACCTGCAGCAGGCTCCAGGCCAGGGTTTATGACCCAGCTGCTCAACATGGATGCAGGCACCTCCATCAGGCTTTTCTGCTTGTATCTCAAGCCTGTGAAAAAACCTGCTTCAGGTAGGTGCCAGGAGCTTACTGCTTTGGACAGAACTCTGCAACCTGGCACCAATCTGCAGACTGGCAAGCTGAGAAACATTGCACTGAAACACGCAGTACCACTGCAAACTACTGCAGCCTCCTTGCAGGAGCCTGTAACTATCCTGCCTGTCGAACTGGAGACACTCGTTTGTTGACTCTTTGCAGGAGAAGGAAGCCGTCTGTCCGTGTCGGAGGCAGGAGGGCAACCCGATCGCTCAGCTCAGAAGGAAGAGCTGGGTGGGGAGCTGGGGTTCTGCGTGGAGCAGATCGGTTTCTGCGGAGGTGCAGCCTGCAGTGGGGTGAGGGAATGAAAACAATTTGGCAGACATCAAAATCTACAGAGCAGCCGGAAAAAGGAGGAGGAATTGGTATTCACAGCAATCAGGCAAGGAGGAAATCAATATTCAGCCATCCACAGATGAGCAAAAATGCCAGAGGTTGGGATAGGTGAGTCTGCGTGGAGCAGATCGGTTTCTGCGGAGGTGCAGCCTGCAGTGGGGTGAGGGAATGAAAACAATTTGGCAGACATCAAAATCTACAGAGCAGCCGGAAAAAGGAGGAGGAATTGGTATTCACAGCAATCAGGCAAGGAGGAAATCAATATTCAGCCATCCACAGATGAGCAAAAATGCCAGAGGTTGGGATAGGTGAGAGAGAGAAGACGAGCGCAGCAGGAAGACCCCTGGGTGCTCCCAAGGTGCCAGAGGCAGGAGAGAACCACGTGTGCGAGGCAGCCAGCTGCTCTGAGGCTGGAGGAAAACAAGACAGGGTGTGCAATGGTAAACTGCAAAGGGTGGAGAGAGTGAAGGGGAGGACAGGCCAGGTCCTGGCTAAGCCACAGACTCCCAGAGTAGGGACAAATGTACGTGGAGCACTGTGGCCAGAGCTGACCTGCAGTACAACCCCCTGAGATGGCTGAGCCCATCTGCAACTCACTGACCTCTCTCAGGGAGTTCTGGTAACCCAAATTCCACTGATTTAGTGAGCTGAACTGGCTCCCTGAAGGGTCTGACAAGTGGAATGGGACAGGAGTCCACAGCTCAGCTGTCTCCTGGACCACATTTGTGGAATCAGAGCAATGGCAGCCTGCGCTCTATGAAGTGTGCTGAGAAAAGAGCGCAGCGCTGTTCTGCAAGCCCTGCACAGGCAGTTAACTTTGGTGGAGGGCAGGCGTCACAGGCTGCAATGACAAACTGCTGCAGTGACATTCACACAGTGTGTCACTCACAGCCTGTCCTCAGCAACCCAAGTCAGGAAAAAACCACCCCAAACCCTACTACCCTACACTGCTGGGGAGACGTGCTCTCCTTCCTGGAGAAGGAGGGAGTCTCCAAAGCACAGGTGTAACCAAATGTACAAGTAGCCATGTCCCTCGGCACAGAAAATGGCACTTGAGGTCTCCCAAGGATGTAGGGGGAAATCACACAGCCACCCACATGCCAGCTGCTGAAGAGGGCTTTGAAGCAACAAGGATTGTCAACTTGGATTCACATCTAGACAAGATTTGTCCTTAGAAGATGCCCAGTCAAAACAGCCCAAGAGCATTATGGCCTGTGCTCATAGATCAGGCTGCCATCCCCACCTGCCATCAGCGAAACCACCTTCATGCTGCTGAGAAAGTCTTTGCTTCTACGGAAGGATGAGAATAAATCCAATCCCATCTCAGCTTCCTTCACTCACAATATTTCAGGTTTCCAGTTCTTCTAGCATGCCTGCTCCTGCACAGTATGATACCCCATTACATTAACACACGCACATTACATGTGCATGATATTAAAGGTGACATTCCCAGCAAATAAACATGACAGACTGCCATTGCTCTAGGCACCTAATTTAATTTCCTCTGGGATTTAAACCTTAGAAGCTCAAATTAAACAAATAGGCCCCGTTCACTTTCTATTTCAGACCTGAATCTAGAGTTTTCCTCCAATGCCGTTAACTGATCTTATCAACAGGACACTGCACAGAGATCACAATGATGAAGCAGCTTATTCCCTTCCCAAAGGAAAACAGAGCCCCGCTGTTGTGCTGCAGCCATGGGAAGAGCTGACGCAATCTGGAGGGCAAACGAAGCCATCCCATGTGCACTGAACAGGCCTTTTCTCCCATGAAATCTCTCGGCTGGTGTTGAGGAAGCAAAGGAGCTCTCCCGAGCGGCGGCGGCGTCCCGGGTGCCACGGCGCTTGGGCGCTTGCAGCGCCGTGTTTTCACAGCTCTGTGCAAACACTCCTGCCGGCCCAGCCTGCTGAAGCTGGTTACAGGGTGTAGCTCAGCCTCTGTAGTGGCTGTTTGCAGTGTGAACAGGGAACGGCCTCGCCAGCCAGCTGTGGGTATCTGAAACATCTCCTTCAGTGCTGCATGGTCCTGCTTGCACCAGGATCTTCTTGACCTGACCCAGAGAGGACCACACACATGCTCTCCCATTGCTAGCAGACCCAGACTCCATTTTCTGTGTGCTTTGCGGCTCTGTGACTGTTAGTCATGCTGCAGATGCTTGGAAGACGATGACTAGCCAAAAGATAAGTCCCTGTTTTCTATCACAGGCACCTACCACACAACTGAGGTCCAAAGTTTGGGTTCTCACCACCTCACTAATAGCTGCATGTGTCCAGACATGTTAAAAAATACCGGGCTAGGCTGTCTTACTCGGGTAGATAGATGTGTTCAGAGAATACAGGGGCTGTGTGCATGATGTCTCCCTCTCGTGGCAAGTCCCACGTGAGCTTGCTGAAACCTGCTTCTTACCTACAGGGCTTACCTACAGGTCAACTGAAGGAGCTTGTGTGGAAGCTTTCGGTGTTGAAGCTTTCATACCCGCAGATAGTTGAGAAACCTGTATCGTGACTCGTTACAGGTACATGGCTGCGAGTGCACAAAACCAGATGAGATCTAAAAATGTACACAAGGTCATGGGGCTCTAGACCAGTTCGGCTGACTTTGAAAGCAACTGGTGTTTAGTAAAACATTAAAGACTTTATAGTCAGCTTATGGGTACCACCCCAGAGTTAACACCCCATCTCTCACTATAGGGTTCAACTTTACCATGAGGGCTTGAAACGCTCAGGAAAGGCTGACTAGGGGCAGAGGTCACACCAATGTTGAAAGGTTGGCACAGCTGGTGAGTCTTTGATCAAGGAAGACTCTCAGAAGCTGAGCTAGGAATTGAGCTGCAGCTCTGTCCAACTTCAGGAATCATGCTTTGTCCAGGGAAAGACCCAAGCGATTGGCCCAGGGACAGTTAAGCAAGGTG